TATCGTAATGCAAGTATGCAGCGATTTGAATTGGTTACGGGTTGCCGATTTGAAAATGGAACAATAAAATTTAGTATGGACAGAGTGGAATCCTTCGAACAGCGTTGTTTTTTGCACAACCAGTTGCCAGTACCTTCATTTTCTGACCTTCTAAGAGCACAGAAAAATTCACGAAACAATTTCTTTCTAACCATTACAACATTACAACTTTAGTGCCAATTTGCTTTTTTCCCCTATCTCAGCCCTATCGTCTCCATTCGAAATGCTTTCCGAGTATGTGGCTAAAGTGTTGGCTTCCGCCCCAAGAGCTCGTCAAATCATGGCCTATCGAGGTCGTCGAAGTTGCCGCACTGTGGTAGGTATTTATACAGTGGTTATTCTCATCATTATCTGGAATATAACTGGAATGGCAACCACACAAAATTCAACATTTCTTGCCAGTTGTTTTCATTAGATCACTCGACTCGGTCAATCAACACGTAACATGCACTCTGTTCGCGAAGCTAGTTATAGCCTCTCAAACGGTACCAAATGTCATTTTTTCACCCGTGCACAAATGGTTTGCTATTTTCTGCCAACACTATTTAGGTCCCTTGAAAAAATCCAAATCATGTGTGGCGTTCAGCTTGATCCGGTAATTTCGCTAAGCCCCGGTGTGAGTTGGTTCGCACAGTCGTAACACACACACACACACACACACACACACACACTTACCTGTTATACAAAGAGGTCGGAGTGCCAATCCCGAATGGGTCGAGCGATAGATGCACGAATGTGAACGAAACCGGGATCCACTTAGTCTGGACTGGACGAGCTGAGAAGACTGAATTCGAGAGATAACCAAATACAGTTTGTGTTAACTTCCGTTGGGGTATCTCACTTTCCAGGCAACTATTCTAAAGAATAAGAATGTCGCTGGCTTTGGACTTGAAGAAATATGGCTTCGGTGCTACCAACCTATTCGAACTCCAACCATCAAGCCCGAAAATCGCAACAACAATAAAATAATTCTCATTAAATAAACAAATAAAGAATATTGGGTTCCTCAAACTCAATTTTTCATTATTCTTTGTTCCTATATATATATATATATATATATATATATATAAGTTGCTGCGGCTTGTGAACAAGTATGGTGCTAACGCCACAACAATAGTCACACTAACGGGAATAGTGGATAAGTGGTTTGTGGTATAGAAGTAATTTCAATGGGTGTGAAACGGGTTAATACGAGAGAATGGAGATAACTGGGATAACAATTTTTTTCGTGTTTGACCATGCACTTAATACTGTTTGTTGTTTTTGCTACTTTTATGGAGCAGAGGAGTTCGACAGGCAGACCGTATATCATTCGCGCCACTGACTTCTATTCTGGGACATATCTGTCAGCGTTTCTAACCAACGACAATCCTTGTCCCTTGGACCTCAACCTGGATGGTGTGCTACCGGTGTTGAACAAGTACTTTGTACTTTGATGGTGCAAAGCACATACCATACCTGCGTACCTCTATCTCCAAGCGGTTCACAGCGTTTTGGACGTCCTGTCTGTTGTCGTCCAATAAGGCGACATAATCAGCATATTCCAATCCAAGAACTCTGTTCCCTGTGAAGTATGCGACTCCACCGTTTTCTAGACCGGACGAAGCATTCTGTAGAACATCCTCTATGGCGAATTTGAAAAGAAATGTGGATATATGGCAGCTTTACCGAGCTCCACTGGAGACAGCGAAGTGTGGCCAAAGTTGGCCATAGGCCCTAACCCGACCTGAAGTGTGACGATACAACTCTTTGAGGATCGACACATACTTCTCAGGTGCTCTATTCCTCAACAAACAGTCCCATAGTGCGGTCATATCGACAGAGTCGAAAGCTGCTCGGATGACTAAGAATTCAATGATCGTTGGTCTTTGGTAGGCATGACGGTGCTCTAGCCGCTGTCGGAGGGTGAAGATTCGATCGGTGCATCCACGACCGGCTCCTCACGCGTATTGTACAATCGGCGGAGAATGACGGACGCCAACAGCTTTGACGCTATCTAGATTAGGCTTATACCCCTGTGGTTGGCGCAGTCATTGCACGGGCCCTTTTTGAGGATGGGGACAACGATCGATTCCCTCCACGCAGAGGGGACCTGCACAGTGTTCCAAACCTCGGAAAACAGAACTTATAGTTCCCTAACAAGCCTAATTCCACCATCTTTAAATAGGGCTTGGGAAAGGCCATGGGAGCCCGGCGCTTTGTGACGTCCCAAGGCTTGGATCACCTTACAGATTTCCGCCTCAGAAAGTGGTTCTGTTGGGACAGACCATGGGACGTGCACTGGAATAGCTGTGTGAGAAGCTGACGCTGGAGGCCAGCTAAATTTTGCTTTGAAGTACTCCGCTCAGCGTGCAAGGTGTCGCTGTTGACTATGAATGGGCGAGCTGTCAGCTTCGCGGATCGTTTCGCTCACATCCAAGGCGTTCCTAGCGGTGACCCGGATGAGATGAAACAGCTTACGGGAATTGCCCATGGCGGCAGCACGTTCCATCTATGACGCGCGTTGAGTCCACTAGATCTCATGGTCTCTGGGTAGGCTTGCATTAAGTTCACATCTCTTTAAGAGTCGTGTTTCATTATGCTCGCTGTCGGACAAAATAGACCGACGTGCGTCAAGAAGGTGTAGAGACTCTGCAGCGATCCAGGGTTTCACGGCGCGACGTGTCAAACCACAACCAACTAAGCCAGCAGAATGCAGAGCATTCTTGATAAGCGATCAGTACTGGTTGACGTCATCTGGTGGGGTCGATACTAGCTTTGCAGCTTGTGCGTTTTGGCAGACAGTTAGACAAACTGGTTTGGACAGCTTATCACAGTCTAACCGTCATTGTGTTGTGCGTTTGGGATGCCCACCAAAGCACATGGACAGCTTAGCGTATAGTAATGCGCTGTCGGATTCGGGGGGTGTGCTCCAGTACGATCGACAGTCTTGAATTCAGCCCCGTCATTTGTGGCTTATCGCGATGTGGTCGATCTGCGTCCGTCTCTGACTCGAGGAGGGCGGACGCCAAGTGACGCACCGGCATTTGGAGCGTCTGAAGTTCGTACTGGCGAGGAACAGGCGGTGGTCGGAACAGAGAGCCAACAGCCGTTCCCCGTTTTCTGAGCGACAGGAATCTAGTCCGAAAGGACCTCCCGGGTACGCCTCACTCGAAGTCAATTGGTGAACTCTAGCATTCATATCTCCTGCTTATTCACGATATCAGCCCGGGTCGCTTTTCACAAGAGGTCGTGTAGATTGTGATAAAATTCATCTTTGACTGTATCTGGGATGCAGTCTGTTGGAGCGTACGCGATATGACAAACAAGTTTCGTTTATCGTGGCGACGGCTGCTTACCTTGCACGAACCTCTGAGTCTCACTGCGCACAACCTACTGTCGACTGGGATCCAGTCCAGGAGCGCGGTTTCAACTCTCTCACTCAGAACCACACCAACGCCAGCAAGACCGGAAGCCGCAGCCTCAGGGTCCTCAGAGAGGCGTAAGTGAAACTTCACAGATTGGATGATGGAGCTGGAGTTTTGAATGCGAGTTTCTTGGATGCAACACATCGATGGCTAGGGTTTCGAGCGTACGAGATAAACACGCCTGTTGTTCTGTACGCATCAGAGTACGCACATTAAACGTGGCTAGTTTGAAAGGACGTCGAGGGCGGAGAAAGGCTTCAGCTGATGGAGGATTCGGTGAGACTTGGACAGCAGTCGAGGTAGGACAAGAGCGAACAGCAGAAGCATTTCCACCCGAGGGACTACTGCAAGTACGATCGTCTGAAGTACCTGAGAGAGATGGAATAGAGTTGGGAGGGTAGAGCTGAGGTGGGGGGGGGGGNGAGGCTGGGAGAAAAAAGGGTGTGTACGGTGTAGAAAGTCTTTCGATTGTTGAAGGTTTAGGGTTCGAAATCATGATAGCGAAAACATTCATAGTTGTCTGCGTCTTTGTTCCTTATCAACCGTCGTTATTTTTCCACCCGGTGTCCTAAAAATTAGAACAACTTATATCATACAACTACTGAACGGCAGTTATGCGTTACGTAGAGGGACTTTCAGTCCCGTTGTTTGACCAGTTGTATTATTTGACAAAGTTTTATCCGTGTTTATTCCCTGACTCTGCGAATTGATGATGAACCTCAATGCTGACGTTGGACACTAGACAGCTGACCAGTATTCCTTACCCAAACTCACAATCCAAGCGTGGATCTAACTATTGTTTTTCACCGCTCAATCACTGCATTTCTCTTCACATTCTATTTCTCCTTTTTGTCCGTTTTTCCCTTCTGTGTTTTCACACGGTCCGTCGCATTTTTTGTTACAGATCAAAGAGGCCGTATTCTGGGGTCGTGATTTTATCATGTCCGGGTCCGAATGTGGTCACGTGATTGTGTGGAATCGTTGGACTGGTGAACCGGCCAGTGTGATTACGGCCGATAGCATTGTGGTGAATCGCATAGCACCGCATCCGCGTTTGCCCAGTAAGTGGATTGTTGAGTGTATCGGAGAAAGAGCAGGAGACTGTTTTATTATACACCTAAGTGTGATGAACAGCAGCAGGAGCGAACCCCATAGTCACGCGGATCTGCTGCTCAGTGGTGGCAACCGGCAACCTAAGACCCGGGACTTGGAGCGGCGAACCATATAAGGCCCTGAAAGGTTAGGTGTGGTATTGAACCGGACGACAGCAGAGCTGCCTACCACCAAAGTCGGGTGGCGGCGGCGAGGCTCGAACCTCAGACCATAGGGTTGAAAGCACGCCTGTGACAGCGACCAAACCATTGCGCCACCACCGTAGTTTTGTGCAAAAGAGTATTTGAATGCTGCCACCTGGAAAGAGTGGGTTGACGTTTGTGACCGAGATTCGCGAGCGATTGTCGGGCGAGAAGGCACCCAATCGGTGCGCTCCGAAGGAGCTAGGGAAACCGGAGTAGAAGTGCAGAGATGGGTTAACAGTTGAAGAAAGTATGCTAGGCTCGAATTCGTAACAAGGTGAATGGCTTTGCTATGAACACAACACAAATGTGCCTTGGTGCACTTACCCCCGTCGGGGGACATCAGAGTTAGTGAATCTATCTTTTGTTATCAAAAACATTTTCTCCTTTAATTTATATGAATAAAACAAGTTGCAGTGTGGACAGAATTGACGTTAGTCATCATGCGCCATTGTTTTGTCTGCACTCACACGCCGGGCTCAGCACGTGGGTCTCCATACATTTTTTTCCGCACATTCAAACAAACACAGACGGTCAAAGAATCCCATTTCGGAATATGAAATGCTAGTCTTCATGATCTAGTTCGGTCGATTCCGGCCATAATCGACTTTTAAAAAGCCTTCCAAGAAGGTTCACTATGCTCCACCTGTTATTTCCTGTTTCGATTTATATTTGTCTGGATTATTAAAAAGCGATAATATCCCCAAATAAGACACACGAGATAATCGTCGTTTTTTCTGTTCAGCGTCTGGTCGGTCGTTGTTGGCTTTCCACAGGAAGTATTTTTTAAGCTTTTATTCGGTTTTCCTCCCATCAAGGTGTGTGAGAATAAAATTTGTTTGTCGTTTCCTTTTTAGCCTGTGTGCAATTCCCGGTCGGCATAAATTTATTCATTCTTTTAACGATACCAATACAGTAGCGTTCGCAAATCAGATCCACACATAAATTAGGACCATATTTTCCAAATACGGAGTATTCTAATGGTTCCTGGTCCTGTCTACCCACAGGCTTTCAATTTTGATCCTATCAGAGTGCCCCGCACTTGTCGTTCTACCATTCTGTATTTGTGTTTCCATGCAAAGCGCTGTCCATTTCATTGGTTTAATCAACCACAATTACCAATTACGTAACTGGCCTTCAATGTCTAGTATAGGAGATCTCAGACTTCTGGAAACGATAGGAGTGTTTTAGGACATCACAATTGTCTATCTTCCAGTGTTTTTTCACACCTGGTAAAGTTTGTTTAGAACTAATCTCCCATTTGGTGCTTGATCTTGGTTTTCCTGGTTAGTTGAAACTTCTTGTGATCGAGGCTATGAAGAAAGTGTCGTTTCTCACCTATAAACCCACAAATCCCCTTTTCATTCTCTAAATGAGCTACATCCACTCTCCATTGGGACTTCCATACAGTTATCGCTTGTAGTGGTATCGATTGCTCGGTGAAAATTATCGAACCGGATCCGAGCAGTTTCGAAATGAATACGGACTCGGACGACGCGTTCTCGGAGATTGTCAAGGAGCACGGGATCAAAGCGTCAACCGTGAGTGACATAGTTCGCCTTCATTACCGATTGACATCATTAGCGTATCTCATATTCGTTTGTCCTTTTTCGATCTCTTTTGCAAACGTTCACTGACCGAATACTTACTACTCGACATAATTGCAAGATTGCCTTTCTAAAGCCGAATCGATATTCTGATCTACTTTGCGTTCCAACAGTTCAAAAGTACATTTTTAATGGCCGGGTATCTCTTGAGACGCGGTTGTATAACTAACCGTGGATAATACAACTGGGATATATGACTAACGTCTCCAAGGGATCAGTGTATACCGTTTGTAGAGTACTTTAAAAGCGAGGAGTGTTCAAGAATATGGAATAACTCTTTAAAATGTAGTAGGAACCTTGGAACGCATATTTGACCTTAAATATCAGCGTAATCTGTAAAGTGATACTGCGTAAAGATAATGTCTGAAACCCAATCAACAAAGAAGACGGTAATGTTTTTGTCGAAAACGGTTACAACCAAGATGACGACTCATTAGGTAAGAAATCGAATAAACGTGTTACGGGTAACCTTTACTCTCCACCCCCTTCCCTCTAAGAGTCTAGGGACGAGGGAAAACGTGTTATTCAAGCACCGGATAGTCAAATTTAAGGAGGTGCAGGTTGTGGACGTGAACTAGTTGTTGTTTTGTTTTGGTCTTGATGTCTCGCTCAACGCAGAAGAGTCGATACAAATCCCCAACAGGATGTCCTCGGACTCGTTTTCTCGATAATTGGAGGCTAGTTAAGACTGAATGAACAACAAACCAAAAAACAATCAGATTGTGGACTACACAGGACCTCGAAGGATCACTGAGAGACAGGTGCACCATGCAAGGGGGTTACCACAAAGGATCAGTACCCTATGCACCCAGACGGTTCAGTGAGATATGCAAACGTGCACTCAGGTATTACTAGCATCGGTTGACAAGCCCTACATACCCATTGGTTTTTAGTTAGGGTGATGCTGTCAAAATCGTCTTTTGCAATGTTACATACGCTGTTTCTTGTGTACCTTTGAAACTGAATCTCCACAGACTGCTATGAAATCTTCATCCAAAGCAGTTTTTCCGCCAGATGTGACGGTTAAACTTCAATCCTTTTCCTCTCAAGAGACTTGTTTATGTTTTGAACTTGCCGTCGTTTGCGTTTCCGGTGTGGCTAATCGTACCTGTTCAACTACGCGTGTTCGTTCGGTTGCGCTACAGCTGTTCCTGTTCTCCCGGACCGGGTTTTATTAAATACACTTGTTCTATTTGGCAAACCTTTCCTGATAATCGATACTATCTCTTTGGTTTTTCTGTTCCGGGTTGATCGGTTTCAAAAGACGCCGACAGTGGAATGTAGTCAAATCACTCGCAGGTTTTATAGAAACTTCCGGATTATGAATAGCAGCATGTAGACAATTGAGTAGTGTTCCTTTTCTAATGGACTTCAGTGTCTTCGTCATCATCATTTTTCAGTGTAACAAATATGAAACGAGTTTAAAATATTTTGTGCACCGCGTTGGGATCTGGAACTGCGAAGTAGCGAAACAGTGCGTTAAATTGCATAAATTGCATTTTTGAAAATTGAAATTATTCAACTGTGTCTCCCGGTGTTCGTGAGTTGCTAATAATAGTTAGGACTCTTCTCTCCCCAATTTGCATGTCCTGTTGTGCATTTGGGGATAATCCGAATTTAGCGATTGGTGTAGGAAGCGCTTCGATCTTCACTGTTCTCTATGATCGGGGCAACGAGTGCGTTAATAGTTATCCAAATTACCCTCGGTTCTGGTTCGTCCTTTTTGAGTGACTGAAGTCCACCCAGTATCAAATTCGTATCGTGTATCGCTTTTCGCGAGTCTATCTCGTTTTGCTGTGCTGTAGATTTCAGTTTTTGTCTGAGCTTTCGCATTGCGATTGCGAATCTTCTGGCTCCGACCAAAATGCTATTTTCAAAGCGAATAATAATTGAACACAAAATCAGTTAACTCCAGACAAAATCAACCGAAATTGTTCACAAATCTATTAAAGTCGTATTGTCTAACTAATTAAACAGTCTCATGGAGATGTACGTTCTGTCCAGCTTCAACAGCATACATTCATCTTATTGATTCCTCCAAATCTGAATCCTGAACACGTGTCCTCCTTAACCGGAGGAGCTGATTTATTGATTAACCAGAATACGAGTTTTTCACGACAAAAGCCTTCAATGGGAACGTCGAAGAGTTTACTCCCCCCTTGCACCCAGTACTGAGATTGATGATGCTCTCTCTCTGTCTGTCTACGGTTATCGCCCTACAGGTCTGTGATATCAATGCGAACCATATGCGCATTTCGCTTCGTGCCGGCTCATATTTCTTGGAACGTCTCGCGCGAATTCGTACTGGTCAAGGTAAACGGATCGTTTTTGCCTCTCCTTAACTGTTTACTGTCTCCAAACTGCTGTGTTGTTGACCAAGTGATTGAAAAAGCTTGCTGTGAACTTCTTTTCATCCGTAGGTTCTATATCAGGAGCTGCGTAGGATGTGCTAATCTGTTTGGTCGTTCATTTCACTCCTTTGGGGTTCGCTAATGCCCTGTTTTTGAAAGATTACATATTTGCTACGGAAATTATTTTTTTGATGGTCGACAAGTGTCACTAAATAGCTACTCCGTTGCTCTTGTTGCTCGGTCGTGTGGCTTAGCTGTATACTCAGATAGTGTAGTCTTGCACTCACATCATCCAGCGTTTACCGTGTGGCTCAATGCTATTGGTTGTGGCTCCCAAGCCCCGCATTTTTAGTCAGTATGAACGAGTCCCTAACAGGAAAAAACAGGCGTCCAGTGCTTCTTGTTTGCCATTATACAATAATTCCCTTCATAATTGAGGTATTCGTTATTTTCTCCAGATCCGCATTCAGGTTTAATACTCGTACTCCAAGGTTATTATTTTTGAACATCTTTACTACTACTACTACTACTACTTCGCTTCCCGTCGTGTTCTGTTGCAGCTATCCGCAGCATACTTCGTCGTTTGGCCACAATCAGTCGACCCTCAGAAACAAGAAACACCAATGACGCTGGTGACAATGACACCGGTGCCACTAATGACGACGACGATGACGATGATGATGATGATAATTCGTCCTAGCCGTCCACCCTCACCAATTCTCTGACTCACCTCCTTTCCCAGTACCAATACAACCTCCCACCGTTCCTACTCCCTCTCCCACGGCGCCAAACCGTGAACACTTGTTTTTTCGTCCCCGTTTGTTCTTTCGAGTACTCTGCGCTTTCAGGTCGTTTCTCTCTCTCTCTCTCTCTCACTCCACACGCACACAACCACTCATGAATGAATGATCCCTCTCACTGCGCTAGTCATCTCACTTCCTATTCCTCCCCGTTTACCGGCTTTATTGCACTCCGATTGAGTGCCTAACTACCCTATCTGCCGTTAATCTACAGTCTCCACACTCTTCAACTGTTTTTAATTGCTTGTTGCTTCCGGCATTTGATGTGACAGCATACTTGTGCTTGCATCAGAACCAGTGATTTAACTCCCCTCCCATTCATCCTTAATCACTACCAAGCCTGTACAGCAGTGACAGTTCAGTGGGAAAAACGGACCCTCATGTAGCGGTTCATTTAGTCGTTGCTTGGAATTCTAATCCGACATCAAAATCAGACTTGCTTTATCCGATTTAAGCTGATGGACAATGTTGATAATCGTGACCGTCAGCATTATAGGTGACACTCGACACTTTTCGGACCCGTTCTGCAGGATACTTGTCTGTTTATCTGTGAAGTTGCCTTTGTAGTGTCCGAATCGATATGTCGGCTTACTTCGTGTCACATTATAATCTAAAAGACTTACTACCCGTACTCAGGTTTTGTAAAAAAGGTTTTGAAAAAGAAGCAGTGTATGGAAAGATGCTTTAACAGATACCATTAGGGAAAGTTTGCAGTGCATTTTCCATCCAAGCGTTGTATCGGGTATCAAGAAACGACGCGGTCTCGACAGGTTCAGGTAATGAAAAAAGTAACGAACACGATTATACTACTGCAACGGTTATTCAGTAGTCTAAAAGTCAATTAAATGTTCCTGGTTGAATCTGAAACTGCATCCCCAGTGATAGAACATCCATTTGTGTTTGTGGGAATGTGGTGAATTAAGTTTCAGATTCCACCAAGAAAGGTTGACAGTTTCCAGAATCAAGTTCCATTTAGAAACGTCTATGATCAGTTGAAGGACCTTTCACCCACATCAACAGAAAATGCCGGGTGGTTCCGTGCGAAAATGATGGATATTTCACATTCATACCTTGCTGCATCGGTTCGGCAACAGAGCTGCCTCAATTTCGAGCACTAAGGCAATCAACCACATGCACACAAACTAAATGTTCTGCAGATGATGAGTTACAGAGCTTTTCTTGCGTGCGCATATGTTTTGATTGTGGGAGGCGGTCAGGATAACAGATTTATCTCTATATTGACCTTGACATGGAAAATGCCACACTCCTCGGGCAGTTGAAAGAGTTCCACTTTTTCCTACAAATAAGGCGTAACCAGTTGTATGTTAGGTAGTAGTATGCACGATAAAAAGGATTTGCGGTCATTCCTAAACACCGTATAAACGACTGAAGCCCATGGAGACAGAACTTTTTAGATAGCTTTAAAACTAATCGAAGGACGAAAAAGTGAAAAATGAGTGCTTCATAATCCGATGGAAAATAAATTCAGACCTGCCGAACATCAACATTCTTTTCGTAGAGCCACCATCTCTGCCATCCTCGATTTGAAAGCAGACTGTCTCATCTAGAGTATGCAGACGACATTGTGCTACTAAGTGAAGATCCAGGTAAGTTGCAAGCATTTCTGGATAGCTTGAGCGCCAGTGTAGCCATGTGCCGTATGCATTTTGGATCTTCAAAGTGTAAAATGTTACTACAAGACTGGGTCGGTCCATCATCGAGCCTCACTCTAACTGGAGAAATAATAGAGCAAGTGGATAACTTTTATTTAGGCAGCTACATCTCATCCGATGAAGGCATCACGAATGAAGTGTCGGCGCGCATACAGAAGGCTCGGTTGGCATTTTTCAACTTGAGACATCTGTGGCTCCGTCGCGACATTCGGCTGTCTGTTAAGGGTCGAGTGTATGCTGC